CTTCTCTCAAAGAAGATGAGATTAGGATCGAGTTAAACTTCAGGGAAGATCAAGTGAAAATATGGCTGTCTGCAATCTAAGGAGAGAAGCCTCAGAAGCCAGCCCACTTACACCTTGGTTGCAGGCATCCCGCATTCAGAATGGTGATGAAATCGATTTCTGTTGCTTAAGTCCCTGAACGTACAATATTTGTTATAGTAGTTCTAGGAAATGAATAGACTCCCCTTTTCAATTGTGTTTGAAATTGAGGATTCAGTACCTTGACAACAGGGTCTCTCAATGAACTCATCAAAAATGTGTCACAGGGCTAGAAAGATAATAAAGTGGGTAGGGCACTTGTCTTGAATGCAGCTGCAGGGTTGGACCACAACATTGTGTATGTTCTATGAGCACTGGCAGAGTGATCCCTCAGCACAGAGCCAGGAGTAAGCCCTGAGAACTGCTGGGAATGGCCCCAAACAAATACTAGTACTAATAACAATATTTCCTATCACACAAATTTAAAGAATTTAGGAAACAAAATGTGTGAAAGAGACAGGATACAGAAGTTGAATAGAGAAGGCAGTAACATGTATAACTATGTGTAAATGACCACTGATGCCTAACAAACAAAACCAATTATAATCTGGAACTGAAAATCCAGTTGATTAACAGATGGAGGGTTCGCTGGTGTGTGATTGTAAGATCAGAGTGAGGTGATAGTGGGGAAAGTGTGCAGAGATCCAAATGTCTCATCTAATGGAGAAACAATATGATTGCCAATGAAACATAAATATCAGTTTAAAATAACTATTAATTATTATTAAATAAGTTTTTGTCTGAAGCAAGAGAATCACTTCTAAATTACAAGAAAAACATGACACAACAAAAGCTATTTTAAAAGACCTAACCTGGGGCAGAGAGAGAGAGAGAGAGAGAGAGAGAGAGAGAGAGAGAGAGAAAGAGAAGAGAGAGAGAGAGAGAGAAAGAGAGAGAGAGAGAAGTGGTTAGCACATTTGCCTTGAATGTGACCAATCTGGTTTGATCCCTGGCATCTCATATGGTTCCCAGAATCCTGCCAGGAGTGATCCCTGAGCACAAAGCCAGGAATAAGCCCTAATACTGCACATGTGGCCCAAAAACAAAAAGAAAAGAAAAAGGAGGAGCTAGAGCAGTAGAGCAGCGGGTAGGGCACTCGCATTGCACACGACCAACCCTGATTCGATCCCCAGCACCCCATGTGGTCCCTGGAGCCCTGCCAGGAGTCCTGAGCACACTCAACAGTCAGATGTGTCTCAAAAACAACAACAAAAATAAAAATAAAATAAAGACCTAACCTGGTAGAAGAGCTACCATAATCACAAACAAAACTATTGAATATAAGGCAAAAAAATAGAAGAATATATAAAATATATCAAACAAAAGCTTCGAGGATCATATCCCAAAACATCTCTGTTCACATTAAATTTGAATGGGCTGGCCCTCCACACATGCTAGGGGAAAAGGGAGCTCAGGTAGAGAAGAGAGCACCAAATAAGGGTATTGGGAGGATCCTCCCAGGATGGGAGAAGCATGCTGAAAGTAGACTATAGACCAAACATAATTGCCACCCATTGCCTCTTTTGCAAACCACAGCACCCAATAGGAGAGAGAGAACAAAAGGGAATGCCCTGCCACAGAGGCAGGGTGGGATGCGGGGATGGGGGGTAGGAGGGATACTGGGATCTGTGGTGATGGAAAATGGGCACTGGTGGAGGGATGGGTACTTAATCATTGTATACTTGAAACCCAAGCACAAAAATTTATAAGTCTACGACTGTACCTCATGGTGTCTCACTAATAAAAATTAAAAAATAATTTGAATGGGCTTAAAGCTCACTAAAAGTCAAAACTTTTGACCTGGTAGTGGTGGGGGAAGGCCCAAGTGGCAGAGACATGCCTTCCATGTCCAAGGTCCTAAGCCTGATCGCCAGCACCACATGACCCCAAGCTCTGTCGGCTGTAGTCAGGTGATTCCTGAGTGCAGTCAGCTGGAGTGGCACAGAACACGTGAGTCAACTTAGCTGGGAGTAGCCCCGGACCCCTGCTGAGTGTGGCCTCTACAAAACCTAATTTTCAGAAATTCAAAATCCAGGCCAGAAAGATAGTACAGTGAGTAGGACACTTGCTTTGCAGCACGGCTGACCCGTGTTCAATCCTGGACACCCCATGTGGTTCCCCTGAACCCTGTCTGGAGTGATCCTAGACCAAAGATCCAGGAATAAGCCCTGAACACCACCAGGTGTGACTCCAAAACTAAAATAAATAAAAGTCAAAATCTAAACCAGATTGTTTTAAACCCAAAATGATATCAGTTATTAACTGTGGAAATAGGAATATAGGCTCTTGAGAAGAAGCTTTTACATTTACCCCTAAATACATCCTTATGCTTAAGCCTTTCACAATAAAAATACATTCCTGGGTTCTATCCAGAAAACATTTCTTTAAAAGTCTGAAGTATAAGATTCAGACTGAGATTTTTCTGATCCCAGAAATAGTTCTACATTTACAATGTATTTCCCTTGAGTAAGTCAAATCCCTTCTTTGGAAGAGAATTTCTGTAGCAAGGAAATGAATGTGGTAGGCCACTTTAATTTGTGACTTTAATATTTTGTCCTGGAGAAATATTTTATTTTATTTTATTGAGAAGTATTTTAGAAGCTTCACTTTAGGGATTCAGGGAGAGGCTATGTGAGTGGGACTATGAGATCACCTATTTGTTTCAAGCATTTTAAGCTTCTCTTTTAATGAGCTTCATGTATACTCCATTTAAGGTCACCTCCAGAAAAAAAGAACTACCGGGCTAGAGAGACATACAGTGTGGGCAGGGCATTTGGCTTGCATGCACTGACCCAAGTTTAGTCCCTTGCATCACATATGGTCCTCTCCAGCCCCAGCCCATCAGAAATGATCCCTGAGTGCAAACCCAGGAGAAGTGCTGACCACCACTGGGTGTGACTCAAGAATCAAGTTAAAACAAAGCAAAGCAAAGCAAAACAAAACAAAACAAAACAAAAACTATCAAGCTTTTACAAACACACACAAGTTAGAAAGCAGCTATTCTAGAAGGCTTTTAAAGTCCCCTCTGAGTTGAACATTTGAGAGCCCTCACCACAAATTTCCCCATTCCTATAACAGCACACCTTCCCTCTTCACCTCCTTCCTGCTCTTACTGCTTTTGTGATGATCAGAGGTCATACATGCTTGACTGAGATGCCAATGGGGATCACATCTTGTCATGGTCTTGCACATTTGACTGAAATGCACACTAGGGGTGGGCTTGTGTAGTTCTGTTGCATGTTTACCTATGTGTTCTCTGGGAATCACATTTACTTAGTTGTGGTACTCACGCATATGCTCTGGGACAGGGAACTCCTGGCTGCTGTACTCAGACATCCTGAGTTTTAGTGCTCACACACACTGGGCCAGAGATTGCATAATCTTTTGCAGTGCTGGGGTCCCAAACTGTAGACTTGCTGGCACTGTGTTCTGATACCACAACATCAGTGACTAAACTTATTCATGGACTCACTCTAGAATTGCAGGAACTTTTTACCAGAAGCTTCCCCCAAGGCTCAATAGACACACTTTGGATGAGAACATAGGCCAAGAGTATGAATTTTTCATAAGGTTGTGCTTGGCCTTTATAAAATTCCCGCAACTCTCTTAATTGTGGAAATTGCCATCGTTCACACAATTGCTTTGTGAACATGTAACTAAGAGACACCTAGGGAAGATCTGAAAGGAGGTACATATACTTCTTTGTTGGCTCTGCTTAACACCTCACCACAATATCTAGGTCAATGCTAGTGGTGCTAGCGTTTATGAGTGAGAGATAGAAGACCTGGATTTTTTTTTAATTTCCTGTCCCTCCCTGAATTTTGATCTAGAAACTACCAACTACTCTTTGCCTGATCCAAGGGAAATTAGATAACTCATATTCCTAAAGGAATGACAAATTCATCTCTTATGTCTCTGAACTTCCTGTCAGCTATGACATTCTAAAATTTACACCTGATGCTTGATGCAAACCATAATATGTGCCAAGGGACATCAGATCTCTGGAGAAAATGTGGGGTGTGGGTTCATAGGGACTTGCCAAGATGTGCCATAAATTAGATGCATCACCAAGCTAATTTTTTTAGAATAGGGGAAAAGATAAAGATGGTGAACAAAGTTACTCACATCACAGTGCCGAAAAAGAAAATGGGAGGGAGTGGAGGATGAGAGAGGGAGAAAGAGAGAGAGAGAGAGAGAGAGAGAGAGAGAGAGAGAGAGAAAGAGAGAGAGGTCTATGGTAAAGGCAGACTGTGGAAGTGAGTGGGGGAGGGGGCAGGAGGGGAAACTGGGGACACTAGGGACGGGAAATGTGCACTAGTGAAGGGATGGGTGTTGGAACATTGTATGACTGAGACTTCATTCCAGTCTACTTTGTAACTGTATATCTCATAATAACTCAAGAAAAAAAAAGTCACTCACTTTTGAGAGGAAACTTTTCCTTCTTAGAAAGGCAGGGGCTGGGAATCACAAGACCCTGATGACTGGCTGCTGTTTTTCCAAGCTTCGTTGAGGTGATTATCTAAGTATGATTTCAGGCAGCCATCATTCTTATTTTTAGCTCTGCATTCTCCTCACGAGTATGGTGACCTGTATCTTGGAGTTCCAGAGGACTCCCAGATAAGGCCCATGATTCATTTGCAGGTACCTTGCTTTGATTTCCCACAAGGTGGGGGCCCAGAGGAATAATTTCAGGCATCTAGTTCTTCTGGGCTCCTGTTCCTATCCCTCTCACTTCATCAGGAATTGGCATTCCACAAATGACTCCTACATGCAGTGGGCAAAGGGCCTTTAACACAGGACCCAAGCGACATTGTTCTCCAAGGGCCTCACAGCTGGTGAGGGGGAAAGACAAAACTGAGGGCTTGGCTCACAGGCTATTTTCAGCCTCTGATAGCAGTTGTGTTGCTCACGTCTCATTTACCCTCTCCCCTCGGGCTCCCTCCCATCCTGCCCTTCGCAGGCCAAGCCGTCATATATTTAAAGAGGTCCAGAGCCCCCGTCACAGTTGAGCCACGGAGATCTCACAGGCAGGTAAGTGGAGCTCAGCAGGCTTTTGGCTAGGGGTTGGCTGATGGGAAGGCTGGTGAGGACTTCTGAGTCCCAGATCCAAGGCATATGCCATATTTCATGCCTCAAGTGCCAGCATCTGCTCTAGTTCTAGTTCTTTAGGAGAAAGCTCAGGGTTATGCTCCATTTTACTGTGAATCTAACAAAGAAACACTGTCTTCCCATTGTTCATCGATTTGCTCGAGTGGGCCCAGTAACGTCTCTATTTTGAGACTTGTTGTTATTGTGTTTGGCATATTGAATACATCACGGGTGCTTGCCAGGCTTTGCTGAGCGGGTGAGATACTCTCGGTAGCTTGCCGGGCTCTCCGAGAGGAGTGGAGGAATCGAACCCGGCTTGGCCGGGCTGGCTGTGCACAAGGCAAACGTCCTACCGCTGTGCTATTGCTCCCCCTAAAAGTGTTATCAATATTTGAGAGCTTAGGGAAGTACCACAGGGAATTATGCAAGAAATAATTTTAGCTGCATTTTTGGGGACTGTTTTATGGTAGACTTATGTTTCCTGATGTTTTAGTGGCACACCTGCATCCTAATCCTAGAAATACATAATGAACAGTTGTACGACTATGAGGAATGTCCTGCCCTCGGTGTCTTTTTCTGCTCTGCAAGGATTAGGATGGAAATGTTGGCTTCCTTGAATTTGTCAAGTTCTACACTGTTAGAAAGTGGTTGCAATGGATTCAATATAGCAAAAGCTTGCTTGCCAGTTTTCTAAATATAATAAACTGCAGTATACTGAAAAGGTGTGGGTATATGATTAAATGTCTCTCCCACACCAACCCCTCACTTGTTTGTACATGCGAAATACTCAGAGAAGCTTTGCTGGTTTAGATTTAAAGGTAGATACAAACTCTATAATCTAAGGATGTTTAGCAACCATTTTTGTTTTTGTTTCAATTTATTTCAGGGCCATACCGGGCTGTGCTCAGGGCTTACTCCTGGCTCTGCACTCAGGAATTACTCCCAGAGGTGCTCAGGAGACCATATGTGGTGCTAGGGATCGAGCCCGGTCAGCTGCATGCAAAACAAACACCCTACCTACTGTACTATTGCTCCAGCCCTAACAAGTTAATAATTTAACATCAGTCAAAACTCAACTCCACAATGTACTGCATTAAAAATCTATGATGAGCTGCATTGAATGAGATGCTAGTACCCAGTTTCGGGCATTCCCAAGATGCCCTTGAGGTTTCAGTTTGCTTTTGCATTCCAGAGAGTGACAGGTCTTGGTGTTGCAGAGAATGGAAAGTGACTTTGAGCTCTGGTTTGAATGCAGATGCTCACAAAGCTGCCACCTTTAGCTTTCTGTGGCTTCCGAGAACCAGAGTCCTCTGCGGTCCGGTCCTCAGTACAATTTAATAAGCTCCAGAAGGCCACCTCCTGGGTCAGGGCTGAGGCAGTCACATGTAGGTACACATAGCAGTAAGAAGGGTAAAAATATTAGGGCGGGAGACATGGTTCCATGTAATGGAGCACATGCTTTGGATGCTGAGATATAAGCTCAATTCTCAGCACTGAGTATAATCCCCTGAGTACTGCTGGGAGCCATTTCTGAACACTGAGTCAGAAGAAACTCCTGAGCACCACCAGGTGTGGACCAAACCCTGACCTTGCCCAGAAAAAGGGGGCAATCAGGAGAGTCTGGGCCATTCGTTGTCTTAGGGGACTGAATTTCTATGTTAGGAAAATTCAGTTCATCACTTGATCTATGAAACTGCTTTATGACTCAGAAAATGTACGGTATCCCTCTGGCGTGGCTTCTTTCCATTCTGACCAATGCAGTTCTGAAAATACTTGTTGACAAGAGGCCAACACTTGCCTTCCTAGCTTGCAGACAGGTGCTCTGTAGCTCCGATGCAAAAACTGTCCATTTGACAGGGAAACTGCCAAGGGGTAGGAGGAGAAAGAGTTGGCGAGGCAGCAACTGGGAGACCCAAAGGCACGGAGCCAGTGAGAGCACCTGCAGGGGAGACGGGAAGAAGGAGCAGCATCCTTCATCAAGCCAAGAGCCACAGCCCCCTGCAAGAGGAAGAGACAAAATCTTGGTACAAGGCAAACTCAGAAATCCTGGGACCCTGACTTAGGAGCTGGGAGTAAATAAGAAAATGTCAACTGCAGAGCCAGCTCTAATTCAAGCTCTCGCTCTTCTCTGAGTTCCCATTTTCTCTTTTTTGAACATTTGTGAGCACCCTAGCCGAAGTCCATAGCACATGGCCATTGCTGCAACACAAAGAGAAAAGGAGGGGAGGAAATAGAATTTTAAAAAATATTTTAAGAAGATGAATAACTTGTCTTATAAGAGGAGGGACACAGACTAGAAATATAATATGTATAGGACATTCAACTCCCCAGGCAAGGAGTTTTCCACTAGAAATAGTGCCAAAGCACTGGGTGGGGTTTGGGGCTGAAGAGAAATGTGATACCCTCAAGTGAGGAATCAGCAGCTCCTCATCACAGTGTAGTAAAGCAGGAGAGGAGATGACAACTGTCGGAGTTGGACTTTATCATGGGAAAGGGTAGATCATTGTTTATCAGTCACTTACCTCTCAAAACAGATGCAGAATAAGTATTAGCTTATTTTACTCTCACCTGAAGGTCCCACAAAAGAATTCATTCCCTACAGGAAAAAAGAAATATTCATAGAAGCAAAGCAATTGCTCAGGGTCAAAGGGCTAGATAGCAGCAGAGCCAAGATGTAAAATCCAGACAGGGAGAGGGGGGTTTGACATACAGATTTTAAAAGTCAAAGTAAAACAGTGTCTGATACTAAAAATTGGTCATTGTTCAGAGATAATTTCAGGAAAGATGTATGATGACCCATGAGTCACAGCCTCAATATAGTGGGTAGGCATGCCTACCAAGTGTTAGTTTGAAGGGAATGAGAGGGCTGGAGATGGGCTGGAGCAAATGCTTTGAATGTAGATACCCTGGAGGCTTAATTCCAGGCACCATATGGGTCCCTGAATACCACCAGGTGTGATCACTGAACACAGAGCTCAGAGTAGCTGTTAAGCACCACCAGGTGTGGTTTCCCTGTGAAAAGAAAACAAATCATGAAAGAAAGACAAGAGATAGTTCTATAGGTAATGTACTTGCCTTGCAAGCAGCCAATGCAGTTCAATTCCCCAGTACCACATATGGTCCTCTAAGCACTGCTGGAAGTAATCCTGAACACAGAGCCAGTGGATGTAGCCTCCACCAAATTAGAGAAGAAAAAAAATTAAGAATAAGGGCCAGCACGTGGTTTTATTCTGTGTAGAGGTTTATCAGCTTGTGCTTCAAAATGAGCAGCTACAGCATGGGGACCTCAGCCACGTGTGTTTGGAAGTTTAGGAGGAAGTCACTGACCTTGAGTGGCTTGTGGGGCAGCTTAAAGGCTTGCCCTCCCTGGGGCTAGAGGACTCGGATGGGGCTCCCTGCTTCCGATCAAAGCCCAGATGACCATGAAGTGAGCTCCAGCAGGTACCACACTAGGGCAGGTCTCAGTCCTCACCTGCCTCCCAGACCCTGGCAAGGGAGCTTTGAGGGTCCCCAGGGGAGACTTGTTTTAGTCTGTGTCTGTCAGTCACTCTGAAGAGTGACCGAGAAACAGGTGGCCTGCTATCTGCTTCTGAAATACCATGGAGATGTAGGAAGAGATTTACTCACTTTAATGGGCTTAACTATGAGAGATAAAATAATTTAAAAAATGACATCTCAATGAAAGTATTAAAGTTACTAAATGCTTATGTATTTAGCTTTTTCAGTCTTGTTTTATGGGCCATCCCTGGCAGTGCTCAGATTTACTCCTGGCTCTGTGTTCAAGGATGACTCCTGGCAGTGCTGGGCGGACACTTTGCAGTGCTGAACCACATGCAAAGCAAGCATCGGGACTCTTGCATTAAGCATGCGTATGTAAAATAATATTGTTATAATCTCATTAAATTTAAAAATCCTGTTTAACATGAGCCTTCTCTTCACATGCATGAGGACTCTGGATTCAGAGACTTTAGCAATTCCAACAAGGTCCAGCAATTAGTATTGTTTGAACTGTGGCGCTTTGCAATGCCTGTGCTTGTCCACTCTGCTATGCTCTTTACCCTGGCTTAAGAGCAGAGAGAAGAGGCAGTGTTTGAGAGGGCGTGCTATGGTGCTGCATTTCTAAAGGTCAGTTCAGATCCCTAAATCTCCTTCAACTTTAGACTTGAAGGACCCTTGAAAGGTCTTTACTAGATCATAGCCACTGAGATGTCCATTTTCAGTCATCAATAGTGAGAAAGAACTCTGCTTCTACAAAGAAGCCCTTTGTGTGCTTCAACAGCACTGGCTCTTAGGAAGCCTTTCATGTTACTGCCCTGGATTCAGTCTCCCTGCTGTGCCCACCCCAGTATTCTCAGTTCATGAAGAGAACCTGTGTGCATCAGATCTCAAGTTCCCTCAGCTGGGAAGTCTGGTACACAGACGTCTTAACCCTTGTTTCTTCTCAAATAAAGTGGGAACATGGGGTTCAACCAGTTTAATGAGGGTTTGCATTTTTTGTTTGTTGGTTTGGTTTTGGGGCCACACCCGGCAATGCTCAGGGTTTTCTACTGGCTCTGTGCTCAGAGGTCACATCTAGTGGGATTCAGGAGGCTCATGTGATGCTGGGGATAGAACCTAAGGCAAGCACTCTACCCTCTTGTACCTTTTCTCCTTTTAATTAGGGTTTGAATTGTAACTCTGTGACCACTAGCTGTTCATCCTCACACAAGCTGGATCAGACTTGAGTCTCAGTTTTCTTATCTGTAAATGAGATTAACAAATTTGCTCTGCTGTGCTGTTTCGTTACATAGTATCTATAATAACAGATACAAAGTAAACAATAAATACTGTCTTAATTACTGTTAATATGTTTTACAGTCAGATAAACCTAAATTCTAATATCGCTTTGTGATACAAACTTGCCACAGGATCTGCAGCAATATGATTTTCCTAAAACTCCATTT